GGAGCAGAAAAGCTAATGGGATGGAAATCAGTTGATTCCAGCAATAATACAGTATCAGCTAGATATTCTCTCTTTCTCTTAATTTAAGCCTCTTTTATCTCCCTTTGGGATTTGGGAGTGACCTCATCCCCTTCCCAGTAGGTACCTTCCTTATGGACCATTACTCAGACACAAAGCACTAAATGCCTTTTCATCACAGGGAATTAACTGGGGAAGGTCAGCAATCCAAGCTCTATCATCATTTTGTTTCACATGATGGCAAGTCAAAAGGAGGTCAGGGGGAAGATATAAACTACCCATCTAATTATGGCCAGTAAAGAGAAGATCCCTTCCATTTAAAGCGGTGATCGCAAAACAAGGGAGAGAGTGGAAAAGCCCAAGGCAGAGGTCTTAATTGGGAATATTTCCAAAAGATATTAGCGTTTGACTTCACAAGGCTGCTGGCTCCGACACAGCCCATCTGTTCCAGTGGGAATCCTTCCCCTCAGCCCTGCTTTGCACCAAGGCATCAAACGAATCTACGGTGGATAAGAGCCCAAGTTAACTCTGCAGTGAAGGCATTCCTTCCTTTATATTTTCCCCACGTCTTTTTGTCTTGCTAAATTCCCTGAGTTTTATATGCATGGTTTTACTCAGTTGTGTACATTTCTCAGCAGGGCCTCACTCACTGTAGCAGTGGAATTCAAGGTGCTGCTTCTGATCCAGGAAGCCTGCTGTGGTTTGGGACCTGCTCTGATCCCCTGCACCAGTGCTGTGGCTGAGATAGTTGAGGTGCTTTAGCTATAATTTTCCCAGTGTGCACTCTGGGGTACTACTAGAGGCAGGAGGGTATTTTATGTGGTGTGCCACATTCTGGAATTCAGTCCATCAGAGCTGGAGCTTCATTGTGCAATGCAAAGCATATTGCTTTGGTCAAGTATTTGCCTGGCTGGATAATTGCTGGTTCTTTTTATGGATGGTATGGGCCAGTGCAGAAGGAAAGGGGTTTATTGTGCTGTGAGACTAACTGCAGCATCATGCTGAGTTAGGTCATGCTGTGGGCAGATGTTTTGGTGATAGGCATAGAGGAAGTTCAATCAATCAATCAGTTTTAGGGCTGTGTATTGTGTATAGTGTGTCTGTTCTCAGTGCTTGTGTATATATCTTGTGCCAGTGTTATGGATTCCAAAATGATGGTGGAAGCTGCTTTGCAGCCCCTTTCCTTCACACAGCTTCTGGAAAGGTGCTTTAATGGGATTACATTGGAAATGTTTTTGTTGGCAGCATGCTGAGAGCTCTCCCCAAGCCGGTCTGACGCATCCCTGGTAGGTGTCCCCAAGAGGCTCTCCTAATCACACTAAATTTCTGCAGATTGATCCTCATACAGTTATGAAACAATTAGCAGCTCCTAATATCCTAAGCAAGTCAAACAGGTAGAGCAAAGGATTTGTCTCTAGGAAAAGAAAGTGGAAGGAGGTAACACTGAGAAGTCAATGGCCAGTAGCAGGATTTTCCCACATTCAATCAGATTCCGAGGAATCCCTATGCTGAGTTTCAGGAGGGGACTCACTGGGGAGCCCAAACTCCTAGCCCCAGATCCAAAAGAGAGGATCTTTGGGCTTCTCTCATTTACTTTCTGCCCCCTTTACGGTGGGGATTTAGCTTGCTTTTATTAGTAACACAGGCCAGAGCTGCTGCTTTTGGCTGTAATTTGGCCCCACATGTCTCTGCCTTTCCCAGGGGGCTGGATTCCCCCTGCTGGTGAGGCTTAGTGAGATGGTCTCTATATTTTTGATTGACTCATATATTTGGATAGTCCTGCTGTTTAAACGGGGGTGGGTATTGGCACTGAGCTACACTGTAGGTAACCTGGAGACTGGGGTCACAGCAGTGGGAAAGGGGTGCCCAGGTCTCTAGTCCTCACTAGATCCAAGGGGGGGGAAATGTATAAATACAATGTATTTTTAAAACATCTTTCAAACACGGAAGAAATTGGGCTCCAAGATCTGCCCCAGAAATAATGATCCATTCAAGGTATGGCACTGATAATTGCCAACTGGTTGTATCATTGAGCTATTTCCTCCTATTTAATATGCAAAGAAATGTCCAGGAGTTTGATGTGTTGCCCACTGTCCCCGCCCTTGTATTTTTGTCCATGATAAAAAAATGGTGAAGGGGAAATTTTCCATCCTCTACATGTCCCATATACAGGCCAGAACATGGCCCCATTGACAGAGATACTCTGAGTTTCTATGCTGCAGCCAATGCATACATGCTGTAATCCTAAATTGCTTAACTCTGAAATCTCCTTTCAGGAAGAATGCAAAACATTTACCAGGCAATCTAATGGGACATCGACACCTGTTGCTTTTAGCTCCATTTAAAGTCTTTGTACCACAAGGTCATGAGTATATGAATCCATAGCAGTAATGCTCTAATGCATCATTGAGCTATCTTACAATACCTGGCCCACAATGGACACCTGTGACAAAGAGTGGGTCAGAGGAAGTGGGGGCAGGAGAGAAGGAGAGGGCAGAAGGGCTAAAAACACAAAGCAAGTATTTGTGTAGGGTTGCAGTATCATTTTATCTTACAGAGCAAAAGGCCAAGAAGAGCATCCCTTGACTTCGTGCCCTATTGCCACTGGCTCTGATGTTCACACCAACTGTTAAACCATGACATAATGCTGTTTCCATCATTTCTAAACTTATTCCAGAGCCACAACGATGTCAGCCCTGGAATAAAACACTCAGAGGCAACAGTGGCCACTGGATTATTAAGAACAAACGCAATGGAACACAGGGCTGGGGGCTAGGAACTGCCAGAGTTCAGTTCCCGTTCACAGTGTGGCACTGGCCAAATCCCTCAAGGAGACACCATCAGCTGGAAATTCAATCAGTTAAAAAAAAATTTACAAGTAGTTTCAAGCCTGCCTGAGCTAATTTGTAAAGCCATCTCCTGGTTCTCCTCCTTCAAATCCCTCAAGGCTTGACCTTGGGAAATGCACCCATTAATCATGGCTAGATTGAGGGACAGGTGGGGAGAGTAGATATTCTTTATTTATGAGCAAACACATATTTAATTTATTCAGAACCATCAAGATGTGCACATAGTAATCTCGAGTTCTTCTTATTGTCACCCTCACCTTTCCTTCTCTTTTACAGCTTGCTTCTTGGTGAGACTGTAAACAGTAACTTCCGGATAAGGACTTCTCCTTGTGTGTGTGTGTCCCCTATCCATGCACAAACAATAAATATCAACATCCTACATCGGCTGCTGAACCTCCCTGCCAATCTCAGAGGTTTTACTGCCACACTGTCCTATTTTTGTAACCCATTTGTCTTAGCAAAGTCCCACTCAAACTAGAGAAGGAAGACCCAGATCCCAACTCCCATTGGTTTCAACTATTTAAATGGATTCAGATGATTTCAAGATCCTCTGAGGATCTGGCCCTAATTGACTGCACAGTGGAAGGTGGAAAACTGAAGATTCACAAAGTGTTGTCAAGTCAATTAACACAAAAATTTGGCTTCCCCCCACCCCCAAATCTATCACCTCTAGGAGGTGTATTTTAGAACTACCCTAGGTAAAGCAAATCACCCAGAATGTGAATACAATGTAAATCGGCAGCAGCCATTTAACCTGGTTCCTCTCCCTCTTCCTATTTGCAACAGGATCAGATGATGTTTTAAAAAAAAGTGAATTGTACAGCGTTTAAACATAGAAGTAACGTACAGATTATCAAGGGGTGCGAAATTCAGTTTAGGATCAGATGGCATAAGGAACACATAATCTGCAATCTCCCCGATTGGGGGTAAAAGGTTGACGGGTCAAAGTACAGACATTGAGATATGAGGGTATGTTGTCCATATAATGGCTATGTTCAGGTGTGGAGTATAATGAGTGGATAGGATGATGAGGATGGATCTACCCTCATTTGGTGAGATTTAACGTTCAGTGAGTTTATGGGTTACTAATACTTAATCATCTCCCCTTCCAGGCAGCTCAGTAATCCTAAATATTTGTAAACTGTTTGCAAATACAAGGCGCTATGGAAGTGCTAAGCAGAAGCTGGCAGTGGATTCACTGGCTGGCTCTCCTACAAGAAGAGGCCGCCACGCTCCGGCTGTTCGCACCCCTTGGTCAATCCCATGGGTGGTTTGTAAAACAGGAGGGCTGGGAGTTTGAAGCAGCGGTGTAACGCTACTGGCCTTTGCTCTAATCTGCGGGAGGGGACCGGGCAGTGCAACGGGGCTCCCCTTGGTTTTGGGGACGAACCCCTCGTGAGCTCCTAGCGGGACAGCGCCCCCAGTTGATTGCCTTGATTCACAGCAATTCACATGCAGATAAACCGGAGCCGCCCAGTTCTCATTTCAAAGCGCCTCTTCAAAGGGGTAGCCAGCCTCTCGCTACTCCCCGGGGAAGTGGAGATTGACACAGTCTCAACACCTCTGAGAACTGCCTGAAATATTTGTCTGACGCTATTTAAATGCGCGGGAGTGTTAATGCAACCAGGGCCTGGCCAGAGAGAGACCCCTCTGCGAGACCAGCCCCGTGCACTGCCCTGAGATCCCGGGCCAGCCGGCAGGAGAGCAGCCCCCAAGGGGCAGCGTTGGGGAAGGCTGGCCCTGGGCACAGCCAGGGGGCCCCATCCCCTGATCGGCCACGAAAGGGCAGTGGCCGCGAGTCAGTCCCCAAGCTCTGCGCCCCAACCAGTCCCGCCCCCACAACCGGGCTCTGCGGCCTCCCCAACCCCACCCAGGCCGGGCCCTGTGCCCCCCAACCCCGCACCCCCCGTCCGGGCTCTGCGCCCCCCCCCAGTCCAATCCTGCCGGGCTTTGCACCCCCCGGTTCTCTCCTGGGCATTGCTGCTGCCCCCTCTTCTCCTTGACTCTGGGTAGCTACGGGCAGCCCCGGGACACCTGGCCGGGCCCTGGGGCGGGGGCTCGGCGGCCTTTTCGGGGGAGGGGCGGGTTGTGTGGCTTTGACACGAAGCTGCGAACGGCCCCGCGTGTCCGGCCGGGAGCGGAGCCGCCGTGTGAATTGCACCCGAAACTCCCATTGTCCGTCCCCCCGGGGGGGTGCCGCGCCCGGCCGCTTTAAGAGCCGGGGGCTGCCGGCCGCCCCCCAGCCCTGCTCCTGGACTCGCCTCGCTCCTCTCCTGAGCGCCGCCCGCTCCTGCGATGGGCTCGAGCTTCCCCGCCCCGCTGCGGCTCACCCTGGCGCTGCTCTGGCAGCTGGGACTCTCCGCGGCGATCCAGTGGCTGTGAGTAGCAACTCAGGGCAGAGGGGTGGGGCGCGGGGCCGCAGCCCATGGCAACCACCCCTCCCGCGGCAGCTGAGAATTGCCCTGCCCGGGGCTCCCCAGCTCAGCTGGAAAATCCCTGTTCCCTAAACCGCTGCCTGGGCTAACCCACCTGGGGACAGGGCAGGCTTGGCCACCCTCCAGGGGAGCGGAGAAGCTGAGCCGGCGGGGAGCTGGCTCCCTTTCTCTGTCCTCTGCCATTTGGCAGTCCAACTCCTCTGCCTTTCCCCCTGGGACAGGGACACTTTCTGTGCGCCATTGTTCCCCTACTGGATTTTAAACTCAACACAGCCATCCCTTCGGAGCCCTTTCCCCTTCTGGCCAACTAGCCACTGCCTGCCTTGGGGCTAGCATGGAAGGATTTTCAGTCTTGCTTTTTAAGTGGCATCTCAAATCAGTCTGACATTTGCCTCTCAGGATACAAGTGTTAGCTGGTCTTTATACCTGCTTAGTTCCACTGAGTTCACACATAGCAATAATGGGCCACATGCAGCCTTGGGTGGGTGGGAGTCTCCATTTGCTCCAGTTTGGCCCTTTGTATGTATGAATAAATACAAGATACACACGTATGTGGCGGTTTATAGCCCAATTTGCAGAAGTTCTGGGCACCAACACTATTTTAAATCAATGGAAGCTGTGGCTGCTCATCCCTCCGAAAATCAGGCCCCGTGTGTCAATGTAACAAACGTGTGAGCTAGAGACATACATTTTAAAGCCCACACGCTGTTCACACTTATTCCCTACACAGTATAAGGGAATGCCTCTAAGGGTGGAGTGCCACCAGGACAACTCCCAGCACTGACAGCAGCAGGACGGACCAGCTTCCCAAGTGCACTGCCCTACAATGTACCTCAGTCTGGATCTGGAGTGGGTGCCTCTAGGCCCAGAGGGGAGTTTAGCTGTCAGGTCTATTCAGTCTAGGTGCCTCTGCTGAGGATGCCAACAAAGGGATGCAATTAGTACCAGCTATGTTTGTTTTAACAATGTTGATTCCAGGCCTGAGACCCACCACCTCTTTTCATGTGGGGGACCACTGAACAGCTGTCACTGATTTGGACCGTAACCAGATTCCTGATCTAGAGGTGAAAGGCCCGGTATCCAGTTACCAATACTCAACACATGGCTCATCTCTCCTCCTCTCCGCCTCAGTAACATCCCTGGTCACAACAAGAGTGGGCTGGCCTCGATTCTCTACCCATGTCTCACTCATATATGGTAATTCCTCTTTCATGACAGAGGGCTGATGGTGAATGGCAGCAGGGTAGCCTGGAACGAGACCCAGCACTGTAAGATATTGGATGGGCTAGTCCCAGACCAATTGCAGCTGTGCCGAAGAAACCTGGAGCTCATGCACAGCATTGTACATGCAGCCAAAGAGACCAAGGGAGTCTGCCAGAAAACATTCTCAGATATGAGATGGAACTGCTCTTCCATTGAGAATGCACCCAGTTTCACCCCTGACCTCATGAAAGGTAAAGGAAGCTCTGCTATATCATCTGGCATTTCTATACTCTGCTTGCCTAGGCACTGTAGTTTTTCATTCTCCTGCAGTCCTTTCACATGCAAAATTCCCATTGTAGTCAATGGGCCATATTCATGTTGTCAGATACTCTGGAGTAACCATATTGAAGTCACTAGAGAGATACAGAATTTACACCGGTGTAACTGAGATCAGAGTCTGGCCTGGAGCGTGCAGATACTGCAGGATGCAGTCTCAAAGCTAGCTCTCAGTCTGTGTGACTGACATTAACTTCCACATCAAAAAAAGAGCAATTGCTGGAGACCCCCAAACTAGAAGGGGAGAGTTAATCCCAGGGGAAAGTGAAGAACAGAACAAAACAGGATGAAAAAAGATGGCACTAAGAATAGAATCAGAATGAGATGCAGATGGGAGGGGGGCACAAAGGAACTATATTTTCTTTTATACCTGGTTTTGTCCACTTGCTATTGACTCAGAGCAGGACTTTTGCATTCTTGCTCCTGTGAAAGGAATTACTGGCTAGAGCAGGGGTGGGCAAACTTTTTGGCCGGAGGGCCACATCGGGGTTGCAAAACTATATGGAGGGCCGGGTAGGGAAGGCTGTGCCTCCCCAAACAGCCTGGCCCCTGCCCCCTATCCGCCCCTTCCCACTTCCTGCCCTCTGACTGTCCCCTGTCAAAACCCCCGACCCATCCAACCTCCCTCCCCTCCCCGCTCCTTGTCCCTTGACTGCCTGCTCCCAGAACCCCCCACCCCTAACCGCCCCCCTGGGACTCCACCCCCTATCCAACTGCCCCGACCCCTATCCACACCCCCACCCCCTGACAGTCCCCCTGGGACTCCCACACCTATCCACACGCCCGCCCCTAACCACCCCCCTGGGACCTCACCCCCTATCCAACCCCATCCTGTCCCGTGACTGCTCCCCAGGACCCCCTGCCCCTTATCCAACGCCCCTGCTCTCCGCCCTCTTACCGTGCTGCTCAGAGAACAGGAGCTTGCAGCCCCACGGCCCAGCTGGAGCCAGCCACGCCGCCCAGAGTGCTGGCGGTGTGGCGAGCTGAGACTGCGGGGGAGGGGGCACAGCAAGGGAGGGGCTGGGTACTAGCCTCCCAGGCCAGGAGCTCAAGGGCTGGGCAGGATGGTCCTGCAGGCCGGATGTGGCCCGCGAGCCATAGTTTGCCCACGTCTGGGTTGGGGGCAGGGGGGGAGTAAGCTGTTTGGAAGGAACTGATAGGGCCCTGTCTCCCTAATGCAATAGGGCTCTGGCCCTAATGGGGGAGGGTGCTGCTATAATAGAAATAATAATCTGTCAGAGGAGATGTACTTGAGCGGTTAAAGTTCATCACTGAGTAAACCATCCTGGATTCTGTTTCTGGAACTGCTGCTGTTTTGCTGTGTGACTTTACAAGTTGCTCTCACTCTCTGCACTTCATTTTCCCTTTCAGTGAAATGGGGAGAATAATGCTGACCTACACCACAGTTTTGTGACGAGTTTGTGAGATTTCACTTTAGAGAGTGAGCGCTTGCATGCATGCTCTGAGATCCTTGGGTGAAAAGAGCTGTAGAAAACCAAGGTACTAATTGTAAACAGCACTGCTCTCTCGAAGGACCCATGTAATGAGGCTGAAGAGAGCGAGCCACTGCTCACTCTGGAGCCCAAATCAGTGTTGCCTGGAGCATCAGCCAAAAGGAAACGCTTCCCTCACGCTCCCTCTCCCCAGGTCCTGAATTCTGATTGCTGTTGTACTGTGCTGAGACCCTTGTGAAACGTACAGTTAGCATCAAATGAACGAGAGGTGGGGATGATTCTGAAGAGTACGTGGTGATTTTCTCTGTATGAAGAAAGCTCTGTGTCACTAGGAATCACGTTGGTATTTCTGGGATTCTTCTTCTTTCTTCACAGGGACCAGGGAATCTGCGTTTGTCTATGCATTGGCTGCTGCTGCTGTCAGTCATTCCATTGCCCGGGCCTGTGCCTCAGGGGAGCTACCTATCTGTTCCTGTGGATCTGTCCCATCTGAGGTGCCTGGGCCTGGCTTCAGGTGGGGTGGCTGTGGGGACAACCTCCGCTATGGCCTCCAGATGGGTTCTGCCTTTGCTGATGGTCCCATGAAGTCCAGCAAGGCAGGAGGACAAGCCACCAGGCTTATGAATCTACATAACAATGCAGTGGGCCGACAGGTGGGTATGGTCACTGGCCACAAAAATTGGCAAGACAGCCACAACCAGGGTACCTCTTTTAAGAAATAACTGGTTATATTGGCTGAGTTGCGGAGGAGGGCTGCAGCCTCTTGCCAGATTGTTGGGAGACCACACATGAATAAATTGGAGAGGCAATCAGTGGGTTAAAGTAACTTTATAATGACCCATTCACACAAACACCTGCCTTACAGAAACAGGGCGGAGTCCCTGTCTTGCTAACCTCCAGGGAGATAATTGCTGGCTATTTATATCTTCCCAGTGGTACATTGAGATCCATCCTGGCTTTGAACCTGCTTTACCCCAGGACCTAACCTGCTATAATAAGAACTGCATGTTCTTCTGTAGGTCTCTGCAGACCTCCACTCCTGGTAGCTAATGGACCTGTGGTGACCAAACATAACCCAACCGAGGGCCTTGCTGATAATTTGCCATGAGCCCACAGGTGGCAATTAATGTGCAAAAATGGAGCAAATAGCAGCTACCCCTCCTGCTTAATACTATGGAGGGATGGCATGCAGAGACTACAGGTCTCCATACATAGCCAGGCTACTTGGAGCAAGATGGGAAACTGCCCACAGCACAATCCTGAATTAATGAGGGGAAACTTCAGGCCCCATTGCAAACTTATGGATGGCACTGGTCCCAAGGACTACCCTCTTATTACAGGGACAGAAAAGCGTAGTAATTGAACCCTTGGATTCCCTGTTAGTCTTGATGCAGGATTTCATGTTTGGCAATGCAGGAAAGCATCCCCCATAGGTACTAAGTGAGATAAGGCCTCCTGGGTGCCAATGACTGACCATGCTTTCTCATATCCTGAAGCCTCCTGTACATGCTCTTCAGAGATCATCTTGGGATGTATGGGCTGTGGCGGGGAAGGATGAATCCCAGCTTTGGGTTCCTTACTGATTTTATTTCTTTCCAGGTATTGATTGACTCCTTGGAAACCAAGTGTAAATGCCATGGTGTTTCTGGCTCCTGCTCAGTTAAGACCTGTTGGAAGGGGCTGCAAGGTTTGAGTGAAATAGCAGCTGACCTCAAATCCAAGTACCTGGCAGCCACCAAGGTGACCCACCGGCATATGGGGACCAGAAAGCAGCTGGTGCCCAAAGAACTGGACATCAGGCCAGTGAGAGAGGCTGAGCTGGTTTATCTAGTCAGTTCTCCAGACTACTGCACAAAGAATCCCAAACTGGGGTCTCTGGGGACTCAGGACAGGTAAGGACCAGCTACAGATGCCATAGCTTCCCTGTGTTATAACTCTCCCTCTGATATAAGGGGCTCTCATTCTACCTCTGTAGTCTAACCTAGAAACACTCTCTCTAAATCCCTTCTTGTTTGAATGATGTAATCTCTGCTATAACACACACAACATGTCCCATTGCCAGCTTGACTGTGAGTGCATAGGGAGGCTGTAATTGCAAGAGGCTCTGAAATCTCCCTGCATCATTTTAATAAACTCCCTAGCCCCTCTCTTGTCACGCACACCCTACCACAGGCAAACCTTGTAACCATGTAACTCGCTGCAGACTTGAAGACCGTTTGAGGGAGGGGAGAGGATGCAAAAAGTGGAGAGAAGCCCCTTCTCATATGGTATGGTCTTACAAGGGGCCTTCCGTGGTCTAGATTGGGCCCCATCCATCTCCTCTGTTCCACTAGAGCTGATACTAAACCTTGAGTGTTTTGTCGGGAGGAAGCATTTGCCAGTTAGTTAGATGGCAGACCCAGCAAGTGTGGGGATTCCCATGAAACCCAGCAGCTTGTTTATCTCCCCTGGGTACAGGATGGTAGGTGCCCCCATATTCAGGATTCAGCTGTCAAGGCAATGGAAAGTCCAGTAGATTCAACTAGTCCATTCCACAGCCAAGCCCTGCTGCCTGGCATATGAACCTGCTATTCCAGTGGTTCTCAAAACTTTTGTACTGGTGACCCCTTTCACATAGCAAACCTCTGAGTGTGACCCTCCCTTATACATTAAAAACACTTTTTTGTATAACACCATTATAATTCTGGAGGCAAAGTGGGGTTTAGGGTGGAGGCTGACAGCTTACAACCCCCCATGTAATAACCTTGCAACCTCCCCCCCCCCCGAGGGGTTCCAACCCCCATTTTGAGAACCCCTGTGCAATTCAGTGGGTGGAGTCAGAAGCATTTACCCACCCCACCCTGATGAGTCATGAGGAGAATGGTCCTCCAGTCTAAACTCTTCCATAGTCCTTCCTGCATCAAACTGCTCATCATTCCAGTGTCCCTCAGGGAGAAACAGCCCCTCCCAAACTATTCTCTGGTGCCCATGTATGTCTTTCCCTGGAGGCTGAGCAAGTTGTTTCCTAGATTGACCCATCTCAACTCCTATGCCATAACTAGCACCTCAACCCAGCTGTGCCATCACATCCCTAAATCCCCCCAACTCCCCCATCTTTCTTCCACTTTGGCAGGCAATGCAACAAGACCTCTGTGGGCAGTGACAGCTGTAACCTGATGTGCTGCGGGCGTGGCTACAATGCTTACACTGAGAGTGTGGTGGAGAGGTGCCAATGCAAGTACTATTGGTGCTGCTATGTGACGTGCAAGAAGTGCCAGCGGACAGTGGAGAGATACGTGTGCAAGTAATGCAGAGGCCCTGGAGCAGCCCAGGCACTGAGAAAGCCCTAAATAACCTATGCTCCGAGACACTCCAGAGCATGTCTGGATATTTAATTAATCACAGGGGAAGTTGTAAGCTTTGGCAAGAAAGGAGGCCATAGTGGAAATCCTCATTGGCATTACCCAGGAAAACACACATTTTTGGGGAAAAGGCCAGGCTTGATGTCTTTAGCCTCACCCCTTCCAGAGCAAGACAGACAGCTGCCTCCTGGGGCTGATCTGGTTTGTTCCAATTCTCAACCTCCAGCTGGGGACAAATAATTTATTACCGTGAATGCATGGATCTCTTTCTCCCCTGAGTTGCCAGCAGCCGTGTCTCTTTGTGGGAAGCTTTTGAAGGGGGCCTGAAAGCCAGGAGTGATGGATGGAAACGGGTGTGGGGAGAGACCCGAGTGAATGCAGGGGAAGAAAGAAGTGCTGCTCCTGAATAAACATGCTGAGGAAATGGTGGGCATACACTTTTGGGGTGGCCACCAGATGCTCCAATTTCAAGACAGGTACATGTTCATTGTCTTCTGCAGCATCACACTTTCTCTCTAACATTAGGATCAGGCTTGGGTGTAGGCTCGTCTCTGACCAATTAATTGCTCCTGGAGAAAGATCTCTGCCACCCTCTCCACTATCAGTGAGATCCATTCCTCTGTCCTTTCATACCAATGAAAGAAAGAGAGAGAGAAATAGAGACATTCTAATATCATGGTGATGGGCATGCTACAAAAACTGAGACAAAAGAAAGGTCCATAGGGGATGTGGGTGGAAATAGTGGGATGGAAAGCGCTATTGAACTTCAGCATGAACCAGTGGGGTCTTGGTAAGGACCAGGCCTGATGCTTCTGCCCCCGAGCTCACACCTGTGAAGTGGAGAAGCCAGTAAATTGGGTGGGACGTTCTCATTCTCACATCCTTTTCTCCCCTCCTCCCTTGCTCCTCCACACCAAGGGTGGCAGCCTGCCCCTGTTTCTGACAGTGCTGACAGTGAGTACTGAGTACATTGGTTCCAGGGCCCCTTTGTAGGGTTTGGAGATGAGACTGAATCTTTTGATTTCTGCTTATTTATTTGGTGCTCTAATAAATTTGTTAGTCTCTAAGGTGCTACAAGTACTCCTGTTCTTTTTGTGGATACAGATTAACATGGCTGCTACTCTGAAACCTTTTAAATAAATAGGTTCGTGTCTCTGCCAATGATGGCCCTAAGCCTCACGTTACACAGGAGGGCTCCCCACTCTGCACACTCCCCCCGCCCCAGAACTCAGCTGGCCACAGAAGGGATGAGGTGAGGCTGTGTCCCCTCTTTGCCTGGTAAAGGGACTGCAAAGCAGACATTCTGTATCCTTTCAGGAGATGAAATGGCAGAGGTGGCTTCATAGTTTAAAGGGAAAGGATGTTTATTTCCATTTGAAGATGCTTTTTTCCCCTCCTTCTGTATCCCCTCTGGTACTGATTCCATACTGCATTTGGCTGTTGTAGCCAGACACAACAAGCTATGGAGCATTTTTCTGGGTTGCTGCAGATCTAATCTCCTAGCAAAGCACTCACTCTTCTGGGATTTATTCCTAGTAGCAGAGCTACTCCAAAACTCCAAAAGCTTGAGTCTGGGGAAATGATCCCTGAGTTGTTTCTGATCTTTATAAATCATGGTTCAAACTGACCTCTGTGAGAGCTGGCAGCTGGAGGAGAGGTCAAAAGTGAGTGACTTTCGAATGGACTGACTCTCTCTCCTCCCCCTGTTGTCTGTGGGTCACACTCCAGCTAGTGCTGGCCCCGACAGCCTCAGTTCTCTCAGAACACACATCAAAGCCAAGATGAAAGCAGAGAGACACCAGCTGCAGCTTTCACAGATTCCTCTTCCTCTGACTGTAAGGGGAAGGCTTTTTCTTTTTTCTAAAAGGCAATATGCTCGGGACATCTGTAGGGTGGGGCACGCTTGTAAACTTAATCAAAATTCTAGGGCAAAGCTCTTGTGGCCCTGAGGATTCTGTGGCAGCTGCTGATACATTTATTTTTTTTTTAAATTGTGGGTTTTTTAATTGAATTAAATATGGAAATGAATAATTCTATCGCTTTGCTTCACTCTCTCGTGTCATGGAATCTGTTCGAACACTTTATTGTACCCAGCCTCTAAACATTAATGTGCTGCAGGTTTTATATTGATAATGAAAAGCTGCATCTCACCAGTTCTCAGCAGAGATCTGGAGGCAGTTTGAGATAAGCAGATGTGCTGGAAGTTAAAATGATCAGAGGTGAAATAGCTAACTGTTTACAATGAAATGCATATAATTAGATTTCAGTTTAACAACTATTGTTTCAGACAATCTGCAGCCTCAGGCGGATATCTCTGCATCAGCTATGCTTAGGCCCTATGTAGATAGTTTTCTTCACAGCTGCGAAGGTTAGAACGTTAACTTTCTATTTTTAAACAAAAGCTCAAATCTGGAGCTCATGCTTGTGGAGTGTTTGTTCTCACAAAAATTTATTCACAAAGAGAAGGGAGCTTCCAGCCCTGCTGGTTAGAGTGGGCTTCCCACTGTGACTGAGGTGCTGGGCTTTTTGAGCCTGAAACCGGCCAGTATAGCCAGACCTACCCTCCTTTATTCCAGTGAGTTAATATTGGTGCTTAATTAGTAACTTAAATGCCTCCACCATAACCATTTCATTGCTGAATAACTACCCAATCCAACCAGCAGAAGATATTGCCATGCCAGGCATACCATGAGCTGGAAATGCCGGTGAATGGTGTTAATGAAATCTGTGGATACTAAACATTATGGGAGTGGGAGGAGCTATAAACCCCACTGAGCATGGCAGAATGATTTAGTGATGCCAGAAATGTGGGTAGGAAATCACAGAAGGAGAAAGCACACTAGATGTAAATCTCCAGTGATTTGAGAAAAAACAGACTGTTTTGTGCTAAATATGGAAAGGCACCATTTCTGGAGCAGTTAGCGGATAGTCCCCCTCTGTCTGGCACTGATGTGGTTGGCACCTGGGAGGCATCATTCAGGTGTGGGTCCCTCACCACCAGACACATTGGCAAACTGGGGAAAGCTCCAAGCAGGGCAACAATAATAATTGGGGGTTGCAGGGACTGATTAATAATTAGTGATTGAAAAGATTAAAACTCTCATGTGAGGGGAACATGATACATGTGTAATGGAAGGAAGGGTGCAAACACTAAGGACTTATTTAGGGTGGTACAAGGGGATATAAGTAGGTGTCATGGGCTGAAGTTGAGAGGGACAGTGTGCGAATGTGGGGGTGGGGGACAAACCCAGTGTCCAGTCCCCCAGCTCCAATGACTCTTTCATTATTTAGCCATAGTGGAACAGTTTCAGCAAGAGAGGTTGAGGGAGCCCTGCATCACAATATCCTATGGTTCCCCTGAGAGGCATGGGAGACCCCGGTTCAAAAATCTTTTCTCTGCTGCTGGCAGAGAGGTAGGCTTGTCTCTTACAGCCGAAGTGAGTGCTCTAACCACTGGCCTAAAAGTTATGAAGTGGGCACTGGCGCTCCCACCACCTCCTCTGGCCAGATTTTGAATAGGACCTGATCTGGTAGACAGCCTCTGAGCACACCTGCTGGATTGGGTCTGATCTAGGCAAATGAATGCCTCTCTTCCCCCAGTTCATGAATCACTGGGGGTCAGGCAAGAAATAGATCTCCGGATGCCTAGAATGAGACGACAGCGTGGATCCCAACAGGACAGAAACTTCGGTGCCTACAGGGTTAAAGCTGGAGTTTTGTAGACAGCTAAGTAGTACCATTGTGGATTGGGGTCAGAGTGTTGAAAGAAAAAAAATCTCCATCTCTGTTCTCCTTTATCCCATCACTTTCGCGGTGGACAACAGCACCATAACACCCTGCTAAGATATTGCAACAAGAGGGATTGTCCCTGGGGATCTTCAGCTGAACAATGGTGATGAGTCAACACAGATGAGTAAGATAGAGAAGGGGTGCTGGGTCTTAGCTTGAAGAACCTCTCTTGTTCCAAAAGTAGGTGGAAGGGGCAGCTAGTGAAATGGCCTTGGGGAGGCTACCAGAAGACAAATACCCATCTTTGTGGCTAGGCATGAGTTGAGGAACACCACCTGTAGCAAGGCAGGAATCCATTCCTGATCTGAGTCCCCTGTCATAATTACAGGACTAGCTAAACCTCTGTCCCCTTTGTGGCTGTGTCTGAGTGTACTCACTTCAGGGGTACAGAACACCCCCTTCAGGTGCTGGGCCTCATGGCTTTACCTTTCCAGGGGTGGAATTCTGCAATTCTCCCACTTTTTGACTGGGCTGTAGGCTATCCTGTGTATCCCCTGTGCTAACCCAACAGGTGTGGCTGGGTTCAGCACCTACAGTTCTTCCCTTTAGGAGTCTGACCAGTGGTGAACAGAGTGACCAAACAGCCTTCTTAAACCAAAAGTGTTTTATTTTAGCAATAGGAACAAAGTATTTAGAGAAAAATGTAACCGCAGTCAAGCACATGGCAACAACTTTCTCCTGGCCACAGTAAGAGTGGGCTATTTAGTGCCCTGGCTGGAGACCTGTTATGCAAGGAGCAAGGGCTTGGTGAATAATTATGCCATGAAAATGGCTTATGTTAGTAAGGAAACAACCAACAGCTGGGACCCCACCAGAAATAATATCCACTGAGATGTTGGCTCATCTGACTGCTCTAGTGGACAAGACAGCTGGAGACTGCAGCCATGCTATCTGCAATCCCAGATACATTTTAAAAATGTGAAGGATAAACAAACAAATCATCATTAATTGAAGCTGGTGCATTTCTAATCACTGTGGCCTTCTTTCTCCCCTGTCCCTCCACACTGGACCACTTGTTTTTTTTTTCTTTTTTGCTTTTGTGGCTGGTTTTCTGGGCACTGGGTCCAGTTCGGATTCATTCATGTTTAGTATGTGTAGCGTCCCAGAGACTATTTCTGAGGTGGGCTTTTAAATCAGCTTTTTGCTGTGGAAGAGATGGGAAGTGGTCTTATCTGTAGATCCTTAAATAATTGCTCTTTTCTCATTTGCATTCCTCAGCAAAGTGTCTGCAAGGAGGATGGGATAAGGAGGGAGGAGCCAGCAGAATACACCCCCACAATCTGTAGTCTCAGGGGAAGTCACTTTCCAGAGCTTATTGAACGTTGGTTAGGTTTACAACTTTCACTTGCTGCTCAGTTCACTGGGAGTTGAGTCCTGTCTGCTGCACTAAACTAGATTACAGGGTCTTGGCTTGGGGAGGGTTGTAAGGGGCTGGAAGGAAAGGAAACCTCCTTTTCCAACCAAAGGCAGCTAGTCAGCTGCCACAGCAGCCTCAGGTCTGTGTGTCACCTCTCTTCCCCAATAGGGGAGCAGATAAAGGATCTGGGTAGTAGTGGATCCCTGGCCCTCACCCCTCCACTGATGGTAGTTCCACAACGCTAGAGAAGGTAGGTTTGTGTGTGGTGGGGTGTGTTGAGGACTCGAACCCAAAATGAACCAGGTCAAAACTCCCGTGCTGTCTGGGGTTCAAGTCCTTAACAGGTGGAACTCTCTTTTTACCAGAAATCTTTAAGCAGCCCCTAATTTGCATGAAATAGAGCAGATTGTAGCTTCTATTTGTTTATTCCTGCAGCTGGAGGCTTATCATAGTGTGAGCAAGAGCTTGGTGAATGATTACATATATGTGCAGGAGAACCATTTTTGCTTCTGCGTACTATGGTCATTATTTAATATGAAGGGGCAGCCTGCAAAGACATGTGCCACTAGGCAATGCTCAGTCACTATCTAAGCAGTTAGGCTGCATGCTCATACCTGTAGTCATAACTGGCTGTGCCTATGTTGAATATAAAGGCAGATACAGGCCTTATCCAGCCTACAGCCCATACTTTGGCCACCCCTGCTGAAAGTGGCTCTGTAAATTTAATCAAGAGTCCTGAAAAAGAGCTTGCTGTAGCTTGAAAGCTTGTATCTCTCACCAACACAAGTTGGTCCAATAAAAGACCACCCACCTTGTCATTGAAAATCTAACTCATTTTAGACCTATGAGGGCAGCAGGTGAAAACAGGACTCATCGCTCACAGTAGGGGAAGTGCCTGGGCTCCTGACAATTCAACAGCACAGGTAGGAGCCTGCCCACACTGCTGGGTGGACCTGCTTGCTCACTCTAGACAAGGCCTGGGGCATAGTCTCAGCTTCCTATTATTTCCTTTCATCTCTCTCTAGGATCCATTTGGCTAATGTTGATAATGCTCCTCTAGGCCTATTTGACCCCACCCCAGATAATCTACACTGAAACTGCTCACGCACAATGCAAAGGGGAGGGGTGCTGAGGTGGTGTTCTATGCCAACCATCAGCAGGTTTGTAATTAGAGAGCACCACTTCAAAGAGGGAGCAGCAGATCTGGAGAGCAGTTACTGAGCCTGATAAGAGAAAAGGCACTTCATGGGATTTCCTTTAGTTCTGGGCAAGGGATTTATTCTTGTAGGAGCTGGCAAGTTCCAGTTAGCAGACAAAGCAAGGCCATCAGATAGGAAAGATGGAAATGGCCTTTGTCTTCTCTTCCCTGTTTCTAAATGGAGCAGGGCCCCTTACCCTCCTCCTGAAGGGGTCAGCTCTGCAGTGTGGGGGGCCTCTAGCTTCCTTCAACCCCGCATATATTATTGTTGTCCTGGGGAATCATAAAAGATTAGGGTTGGAAGAGACCTCAGGAGGTCATCTAGACCAACCCCAATTAAATCATCCCAGCCAGGGCTTTGTCAAGCCAGGCCTTAAAAATCTCTCCTCCTCCCTAAGTAGCCCATTCCAGTGCTTCACCACCCTCCTACTGAAATAGTTTTTCCTAATATCCAACTATGAAATAACTCAGTTGTTACATACCAACAATTGCATCTTTAGGGCAGGTTCTGTCATGCTGCTTAGTTCAGACTCTGTACTAATTTTTAAACAAGACTTGCCCATAGTGACATCAACTCCATAAACACCTTCTGGAGGGTCTGTGGATTCACTGACAAGGGGTAGGTTTGCTCATACCATGCAGACACACA